AGCGGCCGTTCTTCACACCTCGGCGTCTCACTCTTGTTCCTAATGTTCTTTGTTTTTATTATTCATTCGTGCTGCTCTGACAGAACTTTTGCAGAGAAATTCAAACTCCAAACCAAGCTGCTCCTAATGATCACTTTTAATACCTGGAGTGTTTTCTAAAATTTATTTTAGACCTGCATCTAATCATGCACACAGATACATGCATTCATACATATGCATGGGTGCTCACACACTCCGCTCTGTGCTTGATGTGGAGATAAACAACTCTGGGATGTACAACTGTGTCGTCCCTCCAAAATAGCTCCTTTGTCTCTTAAGATAATATCTCCTCCACAGATAGAAAGAGACTATTAACATTTCATGCAGCGGGGTAAGCCGTGACCTTAAACTGGTATCTACCGAGCTGCTCTCCTCTCATCTGATCCAAACACACGCACTAAAAAACATCCGAGCCTAAGTGAGCATTTGTCCCGATAGCAGCTCAGAACAAGAGCTTCTCTGCAATTAAATGAAGGCCCACCCATTTTGAAGTGCTTTAGCAGAGGAAACGTTCGTGTAAACTGTTTCTCTCTGTTCCGCTCTTTCTCTTGATTGCTTTTTTTCTGTCTATAAACATGCCTGCAGAGTTTAACTCCTTCCCTCCCTTCAGAGGGAACTTAAGCCCTAAACCTTCGCCCTCCTCTGCAGGCCTCATCCCTCCCCTCGCACGCCCTGCGTGCCTCCCGTGCTTTGACAGCGAGAGGATCTGTCCACAGATGCTCCGATATGAGCTAAAGACGGACAGTTGATTGATTGGATGTAGACTACAGCAGAGACGTGGCCACAGAAAGCCGCCCCGCCTCTCACAGCTGTTCGCGCCGGACGCTTTAATCTATCGGCGAGCATGCAGGATCAGGGCTGGGCACCGCAGATCCTGCCTCAGCTACCCTGGGTGGGAGTTGCCCGCCTGCCAGAGGGATTAACAGGGAGAGAGGGAGGATTCGGCCCCGCGGAGGAACCGCTCATGCCGCAGGGTGATCAGGCTCAAATAATCTGATGAAGGGTGGAACGTGACGAGTGCAGGAGCACCTCGTAGGCCGAGCGGCAATCAAACCCTCACGCTGCGTGAGGGTTTGATTCTGAGGTCTGGTCACAGAGGATGTTCATGTGAAGGTCAAACAGCGCCCGGCTGCGTGTGTGCACGTCTCATGCTTCTTGAAATGATTTTCATCATAACATGCATAACCTTCTCCCCCATGTTGGACCGAGTATAACCACCATAAACAGCTCAGATGAAGCCTGTATAACAGCCCATGAAGCAGCAGGAAGGCTTGACCTGCATTTTTAAACATTAGAAGAAGCCTTTAATAAAGATTTGTCTCACTGACTAAAGACAGATGAATGTTGCTACCTTGAGGTCACCCAGTTTGGCACTGGGCTGTCACCAATTGTTTTTTTTTTTTAAAGAATAGAAGTGACTCAGACGGCGCTGAATAGGCTCAGCAACATCCACCCATGCTAACGTGCCGTAACAGTCAGGCTCCTAACGCTTGTTTTATGGTACCATGGTTGTGTTTGCATGCGTATTAGCCTGCACAGAGCGGTTTTCAATCTATGCAAACATCCTGTGCAAACCTCCAAATATCTGATAGTGGGTAGCTCGAATACACACAGGTGAAACGGCTGGACAACGTAGTGACAAACAAAGTTCACCAGGAACAGAAGAAGCACTAAAGAATCTCAATAAATACGCTACGGAGAGCTCTGCAGGTGGCTGCAGGGGACACTTTCACTGTTTTCAGCTCTTGGTTTCTAGCAGAGGCTCAGATCAGCTGTACCGCATACTTTGAACACGGCCTCCATCTGGTGGCACATGCTCTCTGCAGGTAATCGGGCTGTCCACCGCTCCCTACACTCAATACATTTGTCATTTAACAAAAAAATAAGGAGTGGACGAGTGTCTCAGGCTGTAAATGTGTTTATTTCTGCTGCAGAGTTGGATAGTTTAACTCACTGCTAGAGCCTCAAGTGGCAAAATTTAGGAACTGCAGTTTTTGGTCCCAGAGAAGTGAAGGAGGAATCTGCACAATGTCTTGTGCAGCTTTTGTGTTGATCCTGTACACGAATCGAGCATTCTGCTAAGATAAGGAGTGTGACCACTGCCCGAGGCCTCCCCTTAGAAACAAATGTGTTCACTCAAGCTGCTAAATATGGTCTGCTACAGCGTGTTATGCACTGTACATACAGTGCAAAAACACTCATGCAAATTCCACAGGGCACAGGAGCACCGGGGCAGCGGCTGCTATGCAAACAGAAGAGAGTCCTTGTGTAAACCCAACCCTGCCAACGTCACCTCAGACAGATCGTCCTGCAGACACGTGCAGCACAGTCATTCCTTCTACCTGATGCAGAAGGAACCACGGCTGCAAGACGGGTGTGGTGTGGAAATGAGACGGTTCATATGCTACAGCTAGTTTGGACCAGCTGCACGTCAGAAAACGCTTGATTATCAGAGAACGATCAAACATATCAAACACTGGGTTTCAGGATGACACATCTCATGATATTTGAGCTAAAAAGCTTTTCTTGTAGCTCGTAAAATATTCTTGCTATGAAGGTTAAATTTAGCATAGCTTCATTAAATATGCTAAAATGATTGTACATAAGCAGCTGGTTGTTGGGGGGGCGACATTCTGATGATTGGACTGGCTCCAAAGTGAAGTAGGTCTGCGTGTGGCGGCGTGTCGGGGCATCGGTTGGATTGATCAGGCCGCCGGTGCAGATGGCAGCAGAGCGATGCCCGCTGGGACGTGCGTTAGTGGCGGGCTGTCATCGTGATGTTTGCTCAGCGCTGACGGCACAACAGATGACTCTGGTTTCACTTTTTTCTGTCCGCTGTCCAGGAGAACACCGTGAACCGTTCCCCACTGAGACTCACTGCAGTGGAGTGATGCTTAAAACAAAGACGTGCTGAAATGCTATCGTTACATATCTTTGCACACAGCAGCTGACTTGTGATGCAGTTGTTAGTATGCTATATTCTGACAGTAAGCTTCAGACGAGGTAATTAAAGTAATCTGCATTGACGTTGAAGCAGCAAAGCATTTGATGGGAATTCTTTGAGGGCGATTACTTGCTTGCTCTGCAAGAACGCTCATTTGCATCATAATTTGCACTCTTTAGTGTCATTGCATTTCTTGTGACGCTGCACTATTAGTTATTTTAAACGACAAAGGAACCCACATGAATTCTCTTCCAAGACAAATGACGCTGTTTCCTGTCCAAGGAAACAGCGCTGCGGTGCTTTATCTCTTGTTGTTTTTGAACAGATGCCCAAAGACCCCAAAAGCGTTTCAGTGGTCGTTCTCAGGTCTCTCCAGCTTTTTATTAGTTTAAGTTTTTAAAAAACTCCCAGTGCACTCGGAAAGGAATCAGGTCGACTCAGATCTCAGTTTGGACGTTGAGCTCAGGATCAAGAAAGTAATGCAAACCATACAGCAACATATTAATGACGAACCTTGAGTTGCGGATGAATCATTCCGAACTTTGGTCCGTTTTCAGGATATTCACAGCTTCACATGTTCTATATTTAGTTGCCTGTTTGCCCTGAAGGACTCTCACACCATGAGAAACAAAATCCTCCAGTCTGATGAAATAAAGATTGAACTCTTTATCCTGAATGCCAAGCATCAGGAAACTAAGCACCGCTTATGACCAGGCCAATGCCGTCCCTAAAGTGAAGCATGGCGGTGGCAGCATCATGCTGTGGGGATGTTTCTCAGTAGCTGGGACAGCAGTCGGGCGCAAAGGAAAGATGAATGCAGAGACACCCTTGATGATAACCTGCTTCAGGGTACTCCGGACCTCAGACCAGGGCAAAGGTTCCAACACGACAACGACCCTGATGAACAACCTTTAATTTGCCCAGACTTGTACCCGACTGAATATCTGTGCAGGGATCTGAAAACAGCTGCGCAGAGATGCTCAACATCCAACCTGATGGAGCTGAGAGGTTCTACAATGAAGCCGCCCCAAAATTGGTTAGCCTAGCTCGTAGCATCGTACTCACCTGAGGCTGTAATTTTGGAAAAATGCAGTAACGTGGAAAGAGTGAAGTGCTGTGAATATTTATGAATGCACTGAATTTACTGCAGAGTAAAATAACGATCAGACCATCAGGCTGCTGTGGCTAAGAGGCTGGAGTCTGGTCTCCTTAGCTAGCTGCCAACATCACCTGTGCTCTTTTTTTTGAATGAAAGTAACGTCTAAAGAGCCAAAATGAGGAGCTAAAATCCGTTTAAAGAGACGGGCCGGTGTCTGGAAGTGGTTTTCTGTGGATGTAAGAGTCATTCCACACAGATTTTACTGGAACATGTAGCACAGCTTCAAGCACACCTGCACCTCATCTGTCCATCCGTGAGTCACCGGCATTCCGAAATGTGTTCCCTAACCTTGCACTAGGAACTTCCACTTGTTTCCTTCAGCCAGGATGCAGATACAGGAAGATGCCTACTATTTTTTCAAAACTCCTTTTCTCAAGAGGAAACGACGGAGCGTCTCTTTTCTCCGATGTTGAATATGTTTGTACTTTTAAAATGCAAATTGGAGTCGTCTCTCTGTGCGTTCGAGCGCTGCCTGTTTAGTGGGAAAGAAGCTCATCCTGCTCTCATTGTCTGTACTCCTGTAGATGAAGATGAAACAAAAGCAAAACACAGAAAGGTAGAAATGAAGCGCAGTCGTGCATGAGAAGATAATTTGATGTAGTGTCTTTGTTTCTTTTATCTCAGGTGCAAAAATCTGCTTTTGTTTTGAGTTATTTGATGTGCAGTGTACTAATCCAGTCTTTCTGACGTCTGGGCTGCTTTTTCTTCCTGTGTTTACATCACTGCTGGTGTCACTCTGTCGTCTGATGATCACGACAGACAGCAGCATCGTGTTGAAAAGACAAATTCTACTGTTTTTGCTGTAACTGGCTGCTAAATTCACTCATCCAACACCCTGGCTGTATTTTCTCCGACCAGGCTCCACGCATCTCGGGGATCCGCGGGCCACGTCGAATCCCAACTCGCCCTCCTCCTCTCCGCACACCCCCAGCGCCCTGGGAAGTGGCATCTCTGATCCGGTCCTGAACGGAGGTCTGTGCTCAGCCGCTTACTGCAGCTCAGCAGGGGGTACGTATACCCAGACAGGAAACTGCAACTGTAGAAGTAGACAATCAATCACCCCTCAGGGGACTCTGGGGAAGCCATTATAGGGTAGTGAGCAGATGTCATCCTGCAGTAGTTTGGAACAATGGCCAGCACTTCATGGTTCTGCTGCTGCAGCTGGAAGTAGGCAAATGTTTTCGGCACGTGTTCTTATGTCACGTAACTCCGTTTATGTAAATGGGACAGATGCAATGTGTTCCTGTACCCACGGGGGGGTCGTTTTTAAAAATCTTTTAGCTTCATACTCAAAGTCAGAAGCTGCAAAGATTTTTATGTAGAGCATCTTTAGGAAGTGATGACTGGCACACCACTGGGGAGGATTTTGAGACAGCAATTTAGCCTCTGTGATCCATAAATCTTAGATCAACCAAAATTCAGCAAATGTTCTTTTCTTCAGCAAGAAAAGCGAACTTTTTGGAAGTTAAGGTCAAAAGCCAGGAGGTTAAAGCACTAACTAAAGTAAAGCCAGCACACAGCAGTGAATGAGTCTGGCATAAAGACAGAACTGCAAAGTTCATCGTAGGCTTCAACAGCCGCGCATCTCTAGCTGCTAATCCCAACATAACCAGCAGCTTCTCTGTTTCACCCCGTGTGGATCTGCCCATTAATTCAGTTCGATTATAGGTTCATATTGTGAGCCAACAATCATACGACCGCCTGTGAGTAATTGCTTTGGCGCCAGTAGGAAGGTAGGAAAACTGAGACAGAACCAGGCTCGGGGAGGGGCGGGGCCATCTGCTGCGACCGGTTGCTCGAGGGGATGAAGATGAGATAAAAGACATGCTGTGATTGTGTATAAACACACAGTGTAGTTTCCCTGTATGACATCAGGTTATTTGATGCATTGGGGTATCGAACACCTGTTTAGCATCGTCTTTGTGTCTTTGCAACAGGAACAACTCCGAATTCTCCGGCCAGCCTCCCCAAGTCCCCCACGTTCCCGTCCGGCCGCGGGCCGTGGTCCGACGAGTGCTCCATCTGCTACGAGAACACCGTGGACACGGTCATCTACGCCTGTGGGCACATGTGCTTGTGCTACACCTGCGGCCTCAAACTCAAGAAGATGTCCAACGCCTGCTGCCCCATCTGCAGGAGGCAGATTAAAGACATTATCAAGACCTATCGCAGCACGTAAGGGAACGGGCGACAGGACGACCTCAGCAAAACCCAGGGTTACAAAAAGAAAGGTTTAGGTTCAGGGAACATGAACTCTGGTACTCTGATTTGGTATTTTCATACAAATATTGGTGGCTGGTTTTCTCACGTGACCTTTTCCAGAGTTAATGCCACTTCACTGGGGAGGTCTCTCTGTCTTTAGAGTCACAGCCTTTGACAGGAAGTTCGTCCAAACTCTATTCTTGCCAGAAGTGTTTGCTTTCTCCGGGACTCGTGGAAGACTTTGAAAGAAGAGGGGAAAAAACCAAACCGGCTTCAAAATTCTTTGATTTGTTGAACCGTGTCGTAAGATTTAGGAACTATCGCCCATTTGCGCCAAAGCAGATGAGTCCCTTTGGGTCTGAATGTCTCAATAGATCTTTTCGAGGATGACCGAAGCTCCGAAATATGCCGTCAACGCGATTTACGACTTAAATGGTCTCAGAAAATGCACACCCGCTGCAGGTAATCATCTCAGTATGTCACAACTTGTGTCTGTGTGTTACTGAGAACTGGAAGCTCAGTCTGCATCACAGTGCTGAAGTGATGGACGTCTGTTAGTGTTGTGGTGATTATCAGTGAGTGACGTGTCTAGCGACGCAAGCCGGTGCTGAGTATTTTAAGTAGGATTGTAAGACCTCTTGTACTCGTATAATCTAATGTACCTTTCTGGTAGTTTTACTGCAAACGTTGGTGGTAGCTATATTGTTGTTCTAGCTAGCTGCTTGCTCTGCAATGTGGTTTGTTGCACTGAAATCTGCATCATCCTCTCAGAAAAGCCCCAAAACTGACCGAGAGGACCAAGACACCCATTGGCTGAAACAATCTACAAGCCATAGACTGTATATAAAAGAGGGACGTAGCCAGGTTACTGTGTGAAATTCAGTTTTGAAGCCTCGGCGTTAGCGTTTTCAGCTTTGTTTTTAACTTTAAAAATTGAGCAGAGTGGGGGAAACCAGAATACACGCGCTCATTCACTGATGATTTGTCAATCGTGAACTGGACCCGCCCTCATGTATAGTATGCTGTTTTGTTTTAGCCCATATGGTGCCTTTTGCACTGACATAAAACTACTGAGAACATAAATTCATCAGGATTTTAATCTGCCGCCCCTGTTGTGCCAGGTTTAAGTCGCTTCTGCAGCGGCTTTACTTTAACACCTGCACGCTACATGCATCTTTTTATATACAGTCTATGCTGCCAACCTGCCTCCAGCAGACTCAGCAGCTCTGAATTCTTGAAAGGAAACAGGAAGTGGGAAATAAACAGCAATCTGGATACTCCTCAGGGCCTGCTATCTTTTTAAGAACCATCCTCCCAAACTGTACCTATATAACCCTGCCTAATACACTGTGAGTGCTCACGACAAATTGACAAGTCCTCACAAACAGCTCCCATAACATCACATTAAAAAAAAAAAAAAAAAAAATCAAAGGATTGTTGCCATGGTTTCCTGCCTTATCTCACAGAAGGTTCGCTCGTAGATGGACCGCGTTCTGTGCTTCCCCCAAACCCCGATGATTTACCAAATAATGCTGTTGTGTGGCACAGACTGTCACAAAATGTTCACTCAGAGGAGAAAAAGCACACATTCAAACTATTTTTCTAATAGAACATTTCCAGTATTTGATTAATAAAATGTATACTACGCTTTGTGACACCAGCAGCAGAGACATTCTACAGAAATCTCTTCAGGGGAAAAGAAAAAGCTCCGATTTTAAGTATTTGTATCATTTCTGTCCCCTAACTTGAGTATAAAACGTCTTCGTCCCCTTCAGATTTCACAGATGAGCTTTGTCCTCGCAGGAAGCTGAGAGGCTGTTTTTAGATTTTGTAGATAATCAACAAACGGGGCTCAGACCTATGCTGCTACGGTGTTTGCCAGCCGACGGTGACGCTGCACACGTCCTTCCTCCCACGTCAGTTTGATTACGCTACTGCTTGAAGTGTTAATTCACATTTGAATGTTAATTTATGTATTTAGAGAGATTTTTATTGATGTGCTTGAATTGGGGTAAAAACCAACAAAAAAACTTTTATGTGTTCTTTTAAAGTTTGTTTGGATCGATAATCACGCGTTTTCTTTTTTCTTCACCTCGTTTATCCAAAACCGCGAGAATCTAAATTTGTGTCCGGCAGTGAGCAGGTCGAGTTAGTCGCACCTCGCAGCAGAGATGTCGCGGTACACAATCAAACCCGGACCGCCGTGAGGTGCGACGCGCCAGCTCCTGCTTTTATTGCGCGCCCTGATCGTCACGTGTTCTTTTGAGTGATTTCTCTTCCTGTGCGCGCGCCCGTGTCCACGACCCAACAGCCCGTCTGTATCTTTAGCTCGTTCGGGCTGTGTGGTCTCAAAGCCATCGCTATGGTGATGATGATGATGTCACTTTATAAAGCTACTGATTGTAATCTTGTACGTCTGAGATTCAGCCGTGGCATTTTTTTCTTTGCGCAGAGACTTTGACCAAATCCAGAAATGATCACTGATCTATTTTTTTAAGATATAAGTCTATAGATGCAACCCCCCCCCCCCCTTATTAAATTCATTGATTTGTATTTGCTTTTTGGACCACATTGATAAACGCCACAAAAGATTTTCTTCTATAAATAGTTTTTTTGAGCACCTTTAATTTAATATTTCGTTGTTTTTTTTCCACACCCCCCACACGCCCCGCAGGATGTCCCTGATCCTCTAATGTATTATTTATTGGTCCAGCACCGACGCGTGGACGTTTCCTGCTTTCTCTCGTGTTTGCTGCCTCCTCTGGCTCCTCTGTGTCCGCAGCGCATTTACTTTCTGTAAATCTTTTTATCGTGCATGACTTTTCCGTTCACCCAGCGTGAACATCGGGACCAACAGCGGATGAGCATCGGAGTGGAACGCTGTCAGTGCTCGTGTAGACTGGAACCAGTGGCTAGAAAAACGCAGTTTGGCTGTTGTTGTGACAGCAGCTGAAAGTGCAAACCTGTGTTTTCTCTTTTCCTTTTGATTTGAAGCTACAAGTGTTCATTTGTGAGCTCTGTCCAGTGTGAGTCGGACGATTGTGGTTAATAAACTTTCCAGATGTGTTTGAGCAGAAATTCGTCTCATCTTTATTTAATCATGTGACGTG